GCTTGCTATTTTCCACATAATGTCCGCGCCGATTAAAACGGAAATATGATTCATTCCATCGGCGCCGCCGCAGTCTGTCAAAGTGACGCCGAATGCTTGGAGTTTGGATTTCATTTCTACATCTGGTATCCGTATATCGGCATTTGTTATGACTGGTACTTCGATGACTTCGAGATTTATGTATTTTTCAGAGTCATTAATATTTCGGAGCGTAAGTTCAACTTCCTTTCGACGCCAATTTTTCCCGTTCTTTTCACCGAAGGTATGCAGATTTAAAACAGTTTCTCCTTTCACTGGTAACTGTAATTTTCTTGATAAATCTTCTCGAATTGCAGAGATTTGGCTACCGCCGTCAAGAAGACATCTCACAATACAGTTCTTATTTCTGCCCTCAGCCACAGCATACACCGTTTGAAGCATAATATTAGATCCAGTTTTGGCAGAAGAATTTTGAACAATTTCCGCCGATGTTTCGGTTTCCTTATTTTTTACACTGGAGACAGCTGATGCGGGATTTACACACACACTTTCATGATGTTTACCGCGGCACGTTTTGCAGGAAAACTGTTTGTTCTTACAGTTGATAGCTAAATGTTTACATCCAAAACACAGAAAACATTTTCCTGTACGTTTCAAAATGTTGCGTTTCTCTTCAGAGTTCACCTCAGTACATTTATATTTCGTATGATCTTCTTTGTCACAAAATATACATTTGTATCCAATTGTTGATAAAGCTGAAGCAGTCGGAACTTTCGGTTTATAATTCGGATAAACTTTCGTGCGTTGTTCATTTTGACGAAAGTATGGTTTCTGATTCGTTTTCGCAGAGTTCATTAAACTTGCAGCTTCTCGACAGTTAACTTCCTTTTTTAAGAATTCTATAAGTTCCTTTATATCAAATCCTGCTTCCATATTTCGACTTCGATTAAATTCCAAATTTAATTCCTCTGGAAATTTCTGCAAAATGATAGGACAGAGAATATTTCCATAACTTCCAGAAGTAACGTTTAACGATTCTAAACTTCGAATGTTGACTTCGCATTCATCGTACAGCTTACGCAGTGCTTTAACATTTGAAATGTTCCCCACTGGTTCAAGAGATAATAATTTATTCATATGCGAAGTGATAACAACATCTTGTCTTCCAAAAACGTTCTTTCAATATTTCTATTGCGGAATCATAATTCTGGTCACTTAAAGCGAAACCGGAAATGGCAGCTAAAGCACCGCCAAGTAAGGATTTTAGGTACGCAAATTTTTCAGTTTTTCTCAATCCACTATGATTATGAATTGTATTTTCGAACTGGTTCCAGAAAGTCTAACCATTTACACGAATCTCCGTAATAAGTTCCGATTTGCAGACGTGGCAACTTCACTGTTTTCGTTTCAACTGGAAGTGCAACATTAGCCGTTTCGTTCTGATGAACTGTTCTAGAAGATTCCGAATTCTTCTTCAAAAATCGTTGCATTCTTCCTCTCCATATAACAGTTTTATCCTGGTATTCTTGACTTCATTTTCAATCTCCTCCGAAGTTACTTTCGTTTCTATTTCTGAATCTAAACTTTTCAGTTCATTGATTTTCTCAATTAACTGTTCATATAAATCCTCGATTATCTCAATTTTCTCATTTAGCGGAATATTATTTAATAAATTCGATTCGACTTAAAAATACTAAAAATACTTGGTTATCAGTTTCGTAGTTAATTGTCTAACAACCGATCGTTTCTTTTTCAAATGTTCAAGAACGCCCTCCATTTTCGAAATATTCAGTCTGTCGATTTTCTGGTTCGTAATAATCCCGGTTTGCAGGCACCATAAACAAAATATGTGTATTATCTCTAATAAATCAGACTGGATCGCAGTTAAAGTAATAAACAGAGGAGCGTTCTTCCACACAACATTTATTCACGAACACCAAAGACGAACTGATACATATACATAATTGACATCACAGTTTCTTTTTACAAACAAACACTACCGCCATCTATTGGCAATCTAAAGACACATAATCCTAAACTTAACAGATAGTAGCTAATTCGTGGATAAGCTTTCTCTAGTTCTTTGGAATTAAGTTCTGTTAAACGTTTGAGTAGTTAAAAGATAACTGCTGTGAGATTTTGTAATACTGCACAAATATCTGAGGAAATTTAAGCATTTTGTTAAATTTGTTGTGATAACAATGAATTTTATCCATTTTTTTTTTCATCGGACTTGTGCACTCAATTCATAACAAACCCGTAAGCACGCAACAATATATAAAAAGAAGGAACAAATTTCATTTTCTTAAAGTATATATAAAAAAAGTCAGATTTTTATGTTCGCAATGTTTATCGTTTTCCAGAACGGATGGAATAGTTTAAATGAATGACTTGGAGGGGGACAAATTTTGTTTACATTTTTTGTACTTAGAATACAGTTAGCTTCAAAGATATGTTTTGCACAATCAACACTTTAATTCGTTCCTCTTTGAAAATTTTCGTCTGAGTAAGATAATAAAAATTAGACAGAGGATTTCTGTGTAGAAAATTTTGATATGAAATAAGTTAAAAGGGACTAAATCAACTATTAAATAAACAATTAATCATATAATATATAATACTGGTTATTAACAATTTTTTATGCCTGATTATTTTTTTAGGGAAATACTCGGCATTTTCAGGGCACAAAAATTATTTCATTATTTCAAAGAACTTTGAAATATTAGTACAAACACAAAAATAAATTAAATTGAAATAAATAATGGAACGTAATTTAAAAACCAGAAATAATTTTAAGATATTTAGATTTAAAAATTTGCACACATAAATGATTTATCAGATTTCTTAAGGTTTTATTTCATAAATAACTTTGATTTTGAAATATGGCATTTGAACCTATAAATATGTGTGGATACTGAAAAAGTGATGAATATATAAGAATATTATAATTTTCAGTAAGTTTTCTTATTGAATAATAAATTCTGACAGTCCTATGCTATAAGACTAGGGTCTAAGTTTGCATAAAAATTCCTCTGTTAAATAAAAGAATTTAAATAATTTCTGTAGTCTTTTTGTCAATACATTAAAATTTTTTAACTAATTACACGTCCTCGCTTACAATTAGAACCATCATTAAATCCCTATTTTATCTAATCATTTCCTGAACATTATCATGTATATAGATTGACCTCGTTTTTGTAACTGATAATTATTACTTGCAAATTATTCTCTTGCTGCTGAACTATTAAAAACCCTTTCTATTGCTGAGTTAGGTTTCTATTGCTAAATTTCTATAACAACTTTCGCTCTTGCTACCGCCTGCCTTACGAAAATCAGAGTAAGACATCTGTCTACTTTGTCTGTCTGTCTGTAAAATGCTGGTACCTGGGTTGATTGTGCGCATGCCCGAAAGTAGGTGGTGTGAAAAGCCTCTTAGCTATTCGCACCGTCTGTGCGATTCGCAGTGGCCAATCGCACCGACGGTATTATATTGTTACGGATTTAGTATTCGCTATTTAAATACCAAATCCCTGACAATATATAAGAAAAGGAACCCATTTTCCTTTCTTTCGAAAGTCACTAACGCTTAAAAAATGATAAACTAAGCCAAGGTAGTAACCCGCCTTTAAGAAAAAAAAAAAAAAAAAAGAAAAAAAAAAAAAAAAGATTTACTACAACATTTAGGCAGTTCGCAATCCGTTCTTTTCCGTTCTTTTCGATTGGGTTCAAATGACGGATCCGTTAACTCAAAGCGCATGCGTGGTTAATGTTGGTGCGAATAGCCCCCGGACACACTGGTATTGCGTACCGCATGGAAAACCATGTTGTCCTTCTCTCGATCGAACCCGAACTTTGAAGCTCAAGCGGGTAATCGCACCGCTGGTGCGAATAGTATGGGCCGGTTAAGGAGGTTAGAATAGAAGGAGGGAAGGTTCAATCACTCAAACGGTGAAGCTTGGCGGCCATATTCCTGTTATCGCTGTGACTTGTGGAAGGAAGTCTGTAATTGCAATATTTCTTTTCTTTTCTTTTTGAAGCATGTCAACTTGTGTTGTATATGGATGCACAAACAGATTTTCGAAAAAGATTCCTCGGATTACTTTTCACGCATAAGTATTGATTTTCTTTTTTTTTATGCAATTTGATAACTATGGTAAAAAATATCACAATATCATGTTGTTTTCTTTCCAGATGTGAAAAAAAGGACTTAATAATAATCAAAATATGTTAAACACATTTTTAATGTTTCTGTTTATAGCTGGCATCTTCGCTCCTTAACATACAATAATGTATGTTAGGATTTAAACTATATAATTTGAACATTTTAGGTAATTCGTTTGATAATTTTCATGAAAAGTAAGACACCAATTCTTACTATTTTTATGAATTGTAAAGGTGTTAAATAAAGTAAAGCTTTTCTTAATGTATTAATTATTATTCATTTTTAAGTTTTTTGAACTGTTAAGAATATAATTTGTGCATTTGATCAAGATAAACTAACCTTTCTGTTGTTAAAATTTTTTTTGCATAAATTTGCAAATTTGTGGGCAGTATAGCGATAAAAGTAAGTAAAATATTTACACAACTTGAACGTATGTGAAAAGATGTATCCAAAATTATATAGGTATATTTCTGTAATTAAGCTTAATTCAAAGGCAATTTCTTTGAGATTCATAAAATATGAAACGCGCATAAACTGAAATCACTGAATTCACATAAATCTGTTTTATTTTATTAATATTTATTTCTTGTTGTTATAAGGTTGTTGGTTGTGAAAAGAATCTATATAAAACTTTCATTTAAAAAAAGCAATGTAATTTTTTAGATAATTATCTGCTATTAATTTCAGGTAAATATAAATGATTCTTTAATAAATTACAATATTGTGAATAAGTCAGAAATATCACTTCTTAAGGCCCGTCTACACGTACCGATTTTATCGGCCGACTTTCTCGTACGATTTTATCTGCGAGAGCTTGCTTGTCTACACGCAACGATTTTGTCGTCGGTACAGGAAATGCCTTAACCAATCACTGTCCGAGGAAGAATTCCCGCCCTATGTAGCGTCACACTATCAACAACTGTGAAAACGAAACTGTGGGGGAGTGAATTTAGGCGACAATAATAAAAAATGGATGAAGATTTCCCGTTAATTGCTACTGTAGCAACATCTGCGATTTTGATCTTCGCTGCTGCTGCTGCAGAAGAAGAAAAAAGAAAGCGTATTTGGACGAGAAATTGGGTGAAACGCAGAGAAATTCATGGAGCCCATAATACCCTGTTCCAAGAGCTGCGTTTTGAAGACAGGGTGGAATTTGGAAAGTATTTGCGAATGATGCCGTGCGATTTTGATTATTTATTAAACTTAGTGAGCAGCAAAATTAAAAAACAGGATACGATTATGCGTTGTGCAATTTCACCATCTGAGAGGCTGCATGTTACTTTACGCTTTCTAGCTGGTGGTAAGTTAATTTTTATTTTATTGGAAAAAAAAATCAATTAATTTTGATAAAATTAATAAATCAAATTCACAAAAATTGAAATACAAATTCAAACAATACTTTTAATCACTATTTTTTAAAATTTGAGAAATTTATAATGAATAAATATCATAATTATATCACTACATCATTTTTAATAAATTTATTTTTTAAGTTTTTTATTATGTTACAGGGTGTTCCTATTCAAATTTACAGTATTTGTTTAGAATACCTAAACAAACATTGTCAAGAGTGATACCAGAAGTATTGGATGCTTTATGGGAATGCATGCAAGATTACATAAAGGTGAGTTAAAACCTCATATATCAATGTTACATATGAGGTCTTATAATTCACAACAACATCATGACCTTTTAATTTTTAAAAAAATGTTCATTTTTACAAGATCAGGATACTAATATTAAGTTGAATTTTTCTCAAATTTGTAATATTGAATTAACTTCAGAGCTTGTTTTCCTTGAAATGTGATTCATTTAAAAAGAGTATTACAGGAGTGCAATATATAATTTTCTATTTAGAATTAAGAGCCCCACCAGTGGTTGAGTGGTTAAGACAACTGAATACTGGTAGTTCGACCTGGCTTGGGTTCCGTCCCAGGCGAACAGGTTGGCTGCATGGTTGGTTTTTGTGGTTACCCCATGTGTAACATAAATATGAGCCAGTTTCCCTTAGAAAGGCCTCTACGAAGGTTTCTCTCCTCTTACGCAGATAGTCCTCGAGGCTTTGCGATATTTAAATTTAAGTAACCTATTTACAATTAAAGTCATAAAATAGTTGCATTGGGATATCTGGATAACGGATAACTTTGAGTTTTTTCTTTTTAAGTACTAGCAGAGAGAGATTTAGTATAGCAATTGGAATTTCATTACTCATGTAACATTCCCTTGAAAATGTTATGCAAACACCGTACTGATGAAATGTCTCTCCAAGTTATATTTTACACTAACCATTATACTTCAGTTGCATAAGCATGCACATTTTACCATGTAATAAATCAGGGCTTTTTAAACTTTTTTGATTGACACTTGATTTTATGGTGGTTAGAGATGAAAATGTCTCTCACTAATATGTTGCAGAAAAAGGTAAAAGTTTATGGCAGTCTCAGAAATTGTAGGAAATCTTTTGCAATTGCTAGCCAAAAATCTTCTGAAGACTTCGTATTAAAGATAAAGTTTCAATCCCGAATTATTTGATAAATCAGCAAGTTCTTCTTGTGATTTTAATGGCAAATGAGTAATATTTTCCACATTAATTCTAAATAGTTTCACAATATATATTAGTTCTTTGACACTAAAATTTGAAGGGAAATATTTCTTAAAGTTTTTCTCAAGACATCGAAGATGTTCATTTATCATTTTTTTCAACAAGTCATCTTTTTGATTTATCTATTTCATCATTTTCATTTAAAAATTCAGTTGTTGCAACAAACATTTCTAACAAACCCTTTTCCATCATTGTTTTCCATATGGTCATTTTCTTAATAAAGCATCAATTTTTAATTTGAATATGACTATGTTGCAACCTTTTTCTTGAAACGACAAATTTAGATCATTTAGTTTTTCAAATATGTCACTCAAATAACGCAGCTTTTGTAGCCATAACTTATTATGAAATAAATTCGCAAAATCAGATTTTTGTTCAGTTAGAAAGAGAACTTTATGTATTGCCTTATCTTTATCTATTTTCAGATACATTGTGTAAAAATGTTTGGTAATTGTAAAATTATTAGAATAAGTTAAGGGATTATCAAAAACTGCTAAAATGTTTTGGCGACCTCCATGGGGGTCGCGACCAACAGTTTAAGAAAATAATTTTAAGTTATAAATGAAATTGTTTTTGCCACTCAACATTAAAATATCTCGTCAGCTTCTTAAAATTTTAAAATTGTTTTGCAGGCACCAGTTTGTTGGTCCATGCTCTAGATTATAATTTGACTCAAATTCTAGAATGAACCATTTTCAATGTGAGTGTTAGTCTGTCGTAATGTTGTCTATGCTTTTCAGTATATTTAAATAAAATTTTAATTTATAAGAAGAGATATGATTATTTGATTTTGGAAAAATCATAATAAACATAATAAACATTGTTTTATAATTAGGGAGGCATCTAGCAATAGAATGTAGGAACTGCAGAGATTGCATTGGTCAGCAAATTGACAACCTAGTATCAACCCTGTATAAAACACATAATGAATCTGCTAAATTGACCACCTATGGGTTCATCCAAAATTCTTCAATAGACACTTTTAGTTTTGAGTTTTCTTCAAATTAAGAAGCATATATATTCAGTTATAAAATGTTTAAACATGTTGTTTAAATGAAAATTCTGTTTTTGTGTACAAACAAGCATAAGCACCTTTTTGTTTATTGTATTATTGTTTGTACAACAACAGCTTATTTTTTAATCATTTATTTTCCAAAAATTATCACTTTTTCTGTTTGTATGGCTATTGTGATCAAAAACATTCATTTACCCACAGTCACTTAGCTTTAATTACATTTATTGTATCTGACACATTCATTACTTTAAAAACTTTAAATAGAATCTATGGTGTAGCTTAATCAAAAACAAGAGAGAAAAAAATGGGAAAAAATTAGATAAAAAGTGAAACATAGGAACACAACCAAAATATTTAAGCACATTTTTTTATCTACTTCTCTGATGTGAATTTTATTATAACAAATGAGTAGCTAATATTCATTGATAAAATATTTGATTTTACTATTTGCCAATATTCAAATAGCATTTTCTGCATTTATATTTTGTATTCGCATCCTTTTTTCAGTTTCATAATTAATACTTATTTTCTCATTTCGTAGACACCAAACACTGCTCAGGAGTGGCAAGCCATAGAAGCTTTTGCTGAAAAGTGGAACCTGCCACACTGTGTTGGTGCCATCGATGGAAAACACGTTATGATAAAAGCACCAGCAGGGGGTGGCAGCACTTTTTACAATTATAAAAGTTTCAACAGCATTGTGCTGATGGCATCAGTTGATGCAGATTATAAATTTACATTTATTGATGTTGGATGTAATGGACGAATATCAGACGGAGGAGTTTTTGCTCAAACAAGTTTATTTTCGATGTGAGACAATAACTTGCTCGATCTGCCTAGCCCAACACCTTTGATTCCAGGTAGTGATCCTGTGAATTATTTTATGGTTGCAGATGAGGCGTTTCCTTTGAAACGTTATCTGATGAGGCCATATCCTGGTAAAAAAATCTCTCCTCAGCAAAGGATTTTCAATTATCGACTGTCCAGGGCAAGGCGTGTTGTTGAAAATGCATTCGGGATATTATCAAATAGATTTCGTATCTTGATGCAACCAATACAGCTGCCTCCTGCGACAGTTGATAAAATTGTTTCTGTATGCTGCTGTTTGCATAACTTTCTACGAGAAAGACCATCCAGGCAATTGTATACACCAAGAGAACTAATCGATCATGAAGATGAGGACTTTAATTTTATACCTGGATCATGGCGAAATGAGGAATCGCTAAGTAAGATGAAATCCCTGTGTAAACAAAATGGTTATAACACAGGGTCTGCTGAAGCAAGGCTGATGCGAGAAAAAATTTGTGATTATGTAAATAATGAAGGAAAAGTTGCGTGGCAAGATAAACATATAAAATATTATTAATTTCTCAATATATGTTCCTTGATTTCTCAATATATGTTATAATAAAAGATAAAGAAATAAAGATTATTTATAATTATTTTTATTCTATGTTACAAAATATATCTAAGTTTCTTATTTATTCTGTGTTGTTCATGGAATCTAATACATTTTGTTCTGTCTGTGCATCTGTGAGAATTTGGTATATTTTATATTTTGTGTCTGTGAGGAGTTGAGGGTCACGGATTAGACTTAGTTCGGAACCAACAAAGGAACCGAACTGTGTAAATGTATTTGGAGTAGTGTTTTTTGATTTTAATATTGTAGAAATTTCTTCAAGTGTTGTTGTGGCTGCTGTGTAAATGTGATCGTGTTTCTGTTTTTTGTTTGAAGTTGTAGTGTTTGATGTGTGTCTTTTTAGCTGTGTTTGTGAATGACATAGTTCTTTCTGTGACTCTTCCTCTCTGTGTCTCTTCAGTGTCTTCAAAATCGTTGATGTCAAACATCTCAGAATGTCTGGTAACTTCTGCACTTCTTTCTTGTGTAGTAGTATCATTAAAATCCTGAAAATTAAAATAACACTTTAATTTTTACTATTTTTCAGCTATCATTCATTCATATATAACAAATCAGAATTAACAAGCTATGGGAAAACATGCAGAAATAAATATTTATAAGGATAATGAATATATTTCCTAAGCTTGATTTTTCAAGAGATATCAAAGTTGAATAGTCAAATATCTTGAATAAGAATACGAAAAAAACCTCGTAATTCTGTTGTCTAAGTTGTAGCGTATTTTGGTATCAATAAAAACATGCAATACATATATTTAAAAGAAAATATATAAGAAGTTAATGCTTATGTTTAAGTATGTTAAAAGTAACAAAATATTGACTAACTTATGTCTGATTTAGCTGTGAATATAAGTTTATCATTGAAAATGGTATATATATATATAATTTACAAATATATATATATATATATAAACTGAGAAGAAAGCAAAGCTAATAATTACTACAGTAAAAGAAAAATAATTTGAGTGTTTTTAAAAGAACAGTATCTGTGCATGTACATCCCCATATTTTATTAACTTTTCAATGTGAAGCGGGGTTGGACTTCATTTACTTGTAAAAACTTGAACAATATGAGTAAGATTTTGATAGTAATAATTACTTAAAATGCAATAAGAATTCATGTTTCTCTATTAATATTTTTAAATTAGAGGTAGTCGCATATTATCTCAACCACCTTAATAAAAATTGCCATACTCTGCACATAAAAATTTCACAGGCAACCCTGTTCATAAAAATCCTTCAGTCAAGCAATGTTTTAATTGTTGTGTTATTTTTGTTGTATTTGGAATTCTAATGATTTTGACAGACATTGTAATTTTTTTGGGGAGTTGGGAACCTTTAACTTACTTTTAAAATATCACTTGTGGAATCTGCCAGCAATGGAAGAAACTGCAGTAAAAATTCTGCAGAATATAGTATTTTGTCACAAAACCGTTAACGCAAACAGCGATGAGATGTGTTTGGTAAACAGTTGATGTGCAGTACAAGTTTATGCAATTTATTGGTTTTTTAAGTGAAAACAGATCACTGTGTACATTGAGAAAAGAATAATGCTAAAAGTTAGAGAAGTATTTTGCAAATTCATAAGTGTTTTTATTTTTTAGTACTTAACATATTAGCGTAACCACCTCAAGTTTGGCAAATTTTTATAAATGAAAAAGAATGAGGGTAATGTTGCTTGACTGAAGGAATGTTTATGAGCATGGTTGCCTAAAGTATTGTTATGCTCATGGTCGACAGATTTTAGCACATTTGGCTTAAATTTACATAAGCTTATAGTTGCTAAACTTGTGACTGTGAAAACTTGTATAAAAGATTTGTTAAGGGTTTAAGTCCTTTTTATTCAACGTAATAAATTACAATTGCGTTTTCTTGACCTTACAGACGGTGCCAATTGGCAAAATAAAAATAATAACCTGAAAAGAAAATAAGACAAGATTCTAACTTACGAGGCTCTCTAAAATAACTAACTCACCGGTTTTACAATACCGCTGCTAATTCAGCAGAAGCTCACTGGAAGGATACCACTATTCCGCCAAGCACATAGGCCGCAAACGCGGGGTTCTTCAATTCTCGTAACTACCTGCTCGCTAAGAAGAGAATCTCTCACACCGAACTTTTTCCTTCTATTAAATTCAAATAATATTCCGTGATAATTTGAATCCTTGTTTCTACTCAATTACATATTCTGGATTGGCAAGTTCAGGGGAAAGTAAGGCTTGACAGGAAGATAGTTTAAAACTTAAAAAATTGGTAGTTTAAAATAAATATAAACCCTACAAGCTAAGTATGTATAACAATATTATTTTATTTATCACAAAAACTGTTAAAGTTTTGCCTATATTAAAAACAATTCTATAAATTTTCAAATAGTAAAGGGAAATTATTTACTTTATAAGCCAAATTATATAAATTTAAAAAGTAATCGCCTTACCAAAGAAGTCACAGTATTCCTTAAGGACACGGCATCACTTAAAAATTGTAACGATGTGTAAAACTGCCATGTCCGATTTGTACTGCATTGCAGTGCTTGCACCAGATGTATAATTTTTTTCTCTTTATGTTTCTCCTTTGTAAATTGAGTACGCAGATTACTCCACTTTTTTTTTTTTAATTTCATTTTCTGGAACGCATATTTGTGTGCTTAAGTCCTGAAATGTTAAAATAACCATGCTTCAGAAAAAGTAAATAACTACTGTGCTTTAAATGATAACCTTTACTATTAAATAAATAGACAATAATGTTATGAAAACCGTAACAATATGAGTAAAAAGAACAAATAAAGAATAAAGATTACTAATAAGTACTAATAAAGAATAAAGATTACTATAGTAGAAAGGAATAGTGTAATTTCAATACAAAAATTTCAAATAAGAAATATAAATATGCAAAATCTTAAAATAGCATATGATACTGAATAATTAAAAAATACTATCGGCATAGTTAAATACTAATACAGTTCTGAAAACAATGTAATCATATTGCTATATCAGTTAATCAGCTAATAAAATTGAGCAATATTGTATTAAATTGAGCTGTAATTTGTTTAACCAACATAAAATAATTTTTCTGCAATTTTTACACGAATAAAAAAAATATTTTAATCGCGAATAAAAACTATTTGATTATATATTTATAAAGTAATGGGAAGATAACTTACCAAAATAAGGGGATCCTTTAACTTTTTATTTTTTAAATTTATGTTATTCGTGTCTCACAACACATGTTCTCTATAGAAATCAATCACTTGAAAAATTTGATTTTCGCTCCAACGAAATAGCGCCATGTTTATTATTTATTCCAAAATGAGAGAAAAAGCACGTGATCTCTGGAAGCAATCTAATTGGCTAGAGTCTCCGATTTTATCGCCGGCTAGTGAGCGGTGAATACTAGATCTGAAATCGTCGCAGAGAACATGACCGATTTTTAGCGCATGCGCACATCCTGAAAATTGTATCTCTGCGAGAAAGTCGGCCGATAAAATCGCTACCTGTAGACGGGCCTTAACAGAAAGTCAAAGGTTCTACTAACTTTCTTGAAATATGCAGAAACATTATTTTAAACTTTAATGTATAATGCATTAGATTTCGAACTATTTCAATGATTTTTCATAGTAAATTACGCATCTTGTAACTTTAAACAAAAAACTAACAATAGTGAAGTATTTTATTATAAATTTTACATATTTTTAGTGGAAAATACATGCACGGAACAGCTTAAAAACACGTATGTTTCATTGCCGTAATGCGATGTTTTGAAGTTACAAACTTGGACGCCGCTTGTTCGGTGGAATTTCATTCCCCGATAGTGGAGGAAACTGCGAACCCTCCCTCCTTTATTCTAACCTCCTTGGAGCCGGTGCGATTAGCCACTGCGATTATTTTAAGGCAAATTTTTGTTTGTACAAATCTGGCAACGCCAGGTGTAGGTTTTAGAGACAAGTTGTGGCAACAAGTTCTCGGGATAACTTGTATTATAATCTCGTGTAAAGTGATAAAAAATGTCCAAACGAGGTAATATTTAATCTTATTAATCCATTTTTTTTTAAATCTTGTAACATTTATGCTTTGTATATATCGTTAACAGTGTTCTAATTGATTTAGAATATGTGATTATTGCTTCCTTTTACGTCGATACTTCTGTAATGAAAATATGTGAATGTTTTTGTGCGTGACAAAATTATTCTTGAAGTATTTTGGAAGATTGTGTACGTAATTTACAGAAAAAGCAATTATTAATGTAATAAAATAGGTATAGATCTTTTTCATATTTTTTGTGGTATAATTAATCTTTAACATTGTACATGAATTCGTGTGTACTAGACATGTAATTTTGAGATATTTGTGTAAACAGTCTCTTCCTCAACCCCAGTTTTTTAGTTCTTATAGAGCTTAAAAATACCGTCTGGTAATATATTCTAAATGTTAGAATAATGTAGATCTATACCTTGTCAGTTTGATATTTTTATTAAAGTGATCGATCATCGTAGGAAGCTGTATGCCATTATAACTTTTTGGAAGTGATAAAAGTAGATTTTTTATGTTGAATGCGCATAACCTCATAAATTATATCTTTTAAATTTCTGAAAAAGCTGACGTTTGTATCTCTGTTCAAAGATACTGTAGCTTTGCTGTCTTGAAGGCCTTGTGCATATTTTGTGAAAGCTACTAAAGTTGATTTTTTATGTATATATTTGAACGTAATTGGACGCATACCCGCTTGCATTTTTATGTCGAGAATTCGAAATTTCGCTCCGTCTCGGTAGCAGAAACGTGATCAATATTTAGTAGAAAACATGCTTTTACTTAATGCTTTTGTTAAATACGTTTCGAGTTCATAAAACTTGTATTATTGTTAAAGTAATATAGATTATTTGGATTCTGCAGTGTGTAAGTAGTTGGGTGTATACTTAAATTCTTTCATGAGGGATTTATCATCAAATTTATTTAAATGAAGTACAATTCCGTAGTATTGTTCACTTATCAAGTAGCGTGTCATGTGCTTACTAAAGTGTCATTAAATTTTGATTTCAGGACGTGGTGGCACAGCAGGTGCAAAATTTCGTATATCCCTTGGTTTGCCTGTCGGTGCAGTAATCAACTGTGCAGATAACACAGGTATGAAACTTAATAGTGTATTTATTTTGCTTTGGCCATTATTGTAGCTTGAAAATATAATTAGTGTCTGTTTGCTCTTTTGCTTGACTATATTTTTTTAGTAGTGATAGTAAAAATCTTGTTAAAGCATTTAAAATACACTGGTTATCATAAATTAAGGAAAAATCACAAAAATAGTGATAACTCCCTTAAAAATAAGCCAAACCATGTAAAATTTGAATATTTTGCCAAGTAAGAGTAGCCGAGTAAAACTGCGATAGGCAAAT